TTTCTATATTGCCTAAAATATCTAGGTTTTGGCTTTGTTTGCGTGTGCAGACCGATCGGTGTATGACATCAAAAAACCATACAGACGGTTCCTTATGTTTTCAAAATGCTCTCGAGGTATTTTGATGTCATACACCGATCGGTCTGCACACGCAAACAAAGCCAAAACCTAATCCTGGCCAGGACGCGTCCTGGGAAAATGGCACGTATGGTCACCCTAGCCTCTTAGCAGATCTGATGTATGCCAGGTTCCAGTGGTCAGCCCACACCATGAAAGGAACCGCAGCCTAAGCTAGCCAATGATGCCACTTGCCCAATGCAAAAGCTCCTAGTTGCCGATATCATAATTTTGCTCTGTGGGAGGCAAATGGTGATTATAACAGTCACGGGATATAACTTATTAACCTGAGGAAACATCTGGGATATATCCACACAGACACCTGCCTCTGGTGCATCCACCTCCACTATAAACTGATGGTTGGGTCCAAGGTAAAAAGAATAGGACCCAATGTGAATTAGATTTTTAAGTCCTCAAAAGCGGCTGAAGTGGCGGCAGACCACTTAAAGCAGGGCTGTCTAATTCAGTTCCTGGAGGGCCACTGTCCTGCAGAGTTTAGCACCAGCCCTAAGTAAATGCACCTGAACCAGCTAATCAGGGTCTTCAAGGTCTTTTTAACGGTTATGCAATTCAGCCTGCAATAATTGATGCAGGGCGCAAAGAGCTGTCCTTCTTTTTCACAAAGAACAACCCTGCTCTGGGCAGAGATGAAAAGTGACAAAGACACAAGAGTGACAAAGTGCCAGAGACAAACATTCCTCCATGGCCGCCATTCAGGTGCAGACAAAGAAAAAAGATGCTCGCTAGGCAGAGAAGCACCAGGGAGGAGATTGATGGCACAAACATACAGTCAGTGGAGAAGAAGAGAAGCAGCTCGAGAGCTACTAAAGACAGATCATGATACACCGCCGTGACTCACTAGGCCATCACCAGAACCATAATCCTGATCAAACTGGAGTTCAGAGCCTGAGCGTTCAGAGTCCCGTGCAACCACAGCATCCACTGTAAGGTCTGCAGAAACAGTCTCCAGCAAACTGGGCCGAGAGATGGCATGAGCTCTGGACACAGGGAATTTTACACACAGGGATTTTAACAGACTGTGAGACAGAGAGCAGCTGACAATACGCAAAACACCCTGACACTGAAGAGGTGCAGAGCGAGCCTAGATATAAAGCGACTAATAATGAGAAAAAAGGAGAACAAGTGTGAAGCCAATGAGTGACTGTGCTTAGTTCAGAGTCCCGTGCAACCACAGCATCCACTGTAAGGTCTGCAGAAACAGTCTCCAGCAAACTGGGCCGAGAGATGGCATGAGCTCTGGACACAGGGAATTTTACACACAGGGATTTTAACAGACTGTGAGACAGATAGCAGCTGACAATACGCAAAACACCCTGACACTGAAGAGGTGCAGAGCGAGCCTAGATATAAAGCGACTAATAATGAGAAAAAAGGAGAACAAGTGTGAAGCCAATGAGTGACTGTGCTTATTGCCGAAGGCAATCAATTGTGTGCAGCCACCAAGAAGGGAAATAAAAACAAAAACAAAACGAGAACAGAGCGAAAAGGCCAGCTAACAAATCAGAGTCCTGACACCATACTTGCAAGATATATGGTATCATGATTTAGATTATGAAAAACACATTCGCTATTAAGAGTTTTCCCTCAATAAACTCCTAATTTGCTGCTTATTGACAGTAAGTAAGGTAGTTGTTGTAGTAGTTATGTTTAGATATGGGGTCAGATTAAGGGATTTACAATATGATGATGCATTTAAATGTGCTTTTTAAGTACTAATAATCAGCCAGTATGCTAGTAATATACATGCTAATAAGCAACTAGTTAAAGGGATAGTTCACCTTCAGTTGCTGGTCCCCATTGACTTCATAGTATGGAGGGGTAAAAAACACTATGCAAGTCAATGGGGACCAGCAACTGAAGGTGAACTATCCCTTTCATATTAAATAGTTTTCTCTAAAGTGTTAGTTTTATTTATTATTTGTTTGTGCAGATAGGAAGTAGCATCCCTCTTCTGCTTCCTTTACATGACTTTTAATTAATTAAATAGCTACTGTGCCATTTTTGTTTAGGCAAAAAAATGCGATATATTATATATAAAATACGTTAGTGACCTTCTGATTCCTTACTCTCCTCAAAGAGCACTTAGGTCTAGTAATCAGCTCCTCTTAACAATCAAAATTGTATAAAGCGCTATACAAATAAAGGTGACTTGACTCTACAACTTTGCTTGCTAGTTAACAAGTGACGTTAGCTTGCTAGCTAAAGTTAGCTACTTGTTTCTATGGGCAATATGAAATGTTTGACTGTGTTTACTTTAATACCATCAAGCATTTCCACTCTTTATTTTTTCATGTTTCTAATTTTTGACACACTGATAAAGAAACGATAAAGGAGCGATAAAGAAACATGAAAATATAAAGCGTGGACATGCTTGATGGTATTCAAGTAAACACAGTCGGTTATGTCTTAAGTGAACATAAGAAATTAGAATTCAATTCACATTTATTTGTATAGCGCTTTTCATGATACTAATCTTTGCAAAGCTGCTTCACAGAAAATTAAAGTTTCTACATTATATTTAGGAGTAGCTTATCAGTGGGGAATATGTCAAGGTGATGTCCACATGGCAGAAATGTACAGTAAAAATCATGCAGCTAGTTTTGACATTTTGAGCGGTAAGGTCCCACATTTTCGGATTTTCGGTGGGATTTTCAGTGACGTCGCATAACTGCCAGAATCACAGAACTGCCTGTGCTTTGGCTGGTGCTGAGCCAGAGACGGATGTGCTCAGTGCTTGACATATAATCACAACTATGCATTGTTTTCAACCACATAATGTATATTTTAGGTTTCAGACATTTAAATGCACATTAGTACTAGTAAAACAATACATTCAGAGTTTGTAAAATACACACTGATGTCTATGAAAGCAGCAAAAACAATCCATTCTAATATAATTTGCCAACGTGTTTTAATCATATCAGATACACACAGTATACTGAACTATATATAAAAATGTATGAACTATAAAGTTCACTCTATTCTTCTCCCAGTTCACCGGCCACTTACATGTATTTTGACAGAAACTGATGAATTCCTGTGCTGTAAATCTGACTGACAGGGCTCACTGAACTGCAGTGCGAACAAACATGGCGGCACCCATCTCATGTTATTGATCAAGATCAATTATAAAGGTTTTTAAATCACAAAACTCACTCACTTGCATGTAATTGAGAATCGGCATATCAGATAGTTGATGACATGTTAAGCATGTTTGTGAATATTTTAAAATAAAAGTGATACATCTGTCATACAGTGTTATTGTGGCTATGGTGTGTCCCATGACAAGCATGACGTGTCGCCATGGAAACAATAAGGGGAAACATTCTAAAATAATGGTTGCCTTAAAAAAACTCACTCTGGGGGGTCAGCTAGAATATTTTAAACTCAGGCATGAAAGGGTTAACAGCAATGATTATATGTTGCGACCAAACTTATAGCAAAATTCGGTAGTTTTGTGTGTTGGTTCAGGGTTGTTGTCATCTGAGGTCCTCTGAGGGGTTGGCATCATCTCTTCTCAGGTGTTCAGTCATCACGGATCTTTGTAAGGAGTGGATCCAGACTGAAGCTTGTGTAATTCCTAGTTACCTCGGGATGCCCATCCCGTGGCAGGAACAGAGAAGCAAATATAGAAAATTAGCGTAGCTGCTGTTCAAACCAAGCAAAGAATGATAATGTGCATTTGATCAGATATAACTGAAGTACAAGGTTATGAGAAACATTATGTGAATACTTGGCTAAAGAGATGTGTCTTTCATCTAGATTTAAATCAAGAGAGTGTGTCTGAACCCCAAAACATTATCAGGAATAGAGGTGTAAAGAGTACCTGAAAATCATACTTGAGTAAATGTACAGATACTTTAAAGTGAAAATTACTCCATTACAAGTTACAAGTCACCAGTTCCAAAACAACTTGAGTAAAAGTCTTAGAGTATCTGATTTTAACAGTACTTTTACTTATACTGAATATAGGCTCAAATATGCACTAGTCAAAGATATATTAAAAAGTCAAAGCCTTCTTACACTAGATGTGCTGGTTTGGGCCTCATTGCCGGCTGCAGTAATGTCCTCATCTCATATATAAAACACATCTGATTCACTACTTGCTAAGGAACTCACATTCATGTAAAGTAGCCTTATTGACAAGGTTGGGTGAGTTAGGGCAAAACACACGAGATATAGTACTTTCAGTGTCCTGTAGTTGGCGATATCCCTTCTTTTGTAGCAGAAATAAATGCAATGCAAAATGTAATGTGTAATTGCAACACTCATTACAAATGTAATGGAGTAAAGAGTACAACTGCTTATTCAAAAATGTAGTGAAGTAATGAGTAAAAGTTGCTAATATCTTTGATACTCAGTAAAACTACAGAATATCCACAAAGTTACTCAAGTACAGTAATTAATTACATTTACTCAAATACTTTACACCTCTGATCAGGAAGGCTATTCCAGAGTTTAGGAGCCAAATGTGTAAAAGCTCTACCTCCTTTAGTGGACTTTGCTATCCTAGGTACTACCAAAAGTCCAGAGTTTTGCAACCTTAGGGAGCGTGATGGATTGTAGCGTGGAAGAAGACTGGTTAGGAAGGCAGGAGCTAAACCATTTGGGCCTTATAAGTAATATTGAAATATGATTTTCAAAAGACAAGTTGCTGTCTAATAAAACACCCACATTTTTGTTTTCAAAACAACATCTGTTTTCTTTTTATTTATTATATAATTAAAAAAAGAAAAACCTTGCTACATGTACTGCGTTAAGCTAACTGAGACTTGTTATAGCACTTGCATAGCATTGCTCTCTTGTTGTTTTTGATTGCTTCCATTGTCCTCATTTATAAGTCGCTTTGCATAAAAGTGTCTGCTAAATGACTAAATGTAAATGTAATATTACCAAGGGGCAACATATATATTGAAAATAGCAGAGGGCCTAAGACAGATCCTTGCGGCACTCCATACTTTACTGGCGTTAATTAAGATGATTCCCCATTTAAATAAACAAAGTGATAACGTTTGAACAGATCTCAACCATCTTAAAGCCTGCCCTTGAATACCCGTGTATTTTTGTAATCGATCTATGGGTATGTCATGATCTATAGTGTCGAACGCAGCACTAAGATCAAGTAAAACTAGCAATGAGATGCAGCCTTGGTCTGACGCAAGAAGCAAATCATTTGTAATTTTAACAAGTGAAGTTTGTGCTATGATGGGGCCTGAAACCTGACTGAAATTCTTCATAGATATCATTTGTTTTGCAGGAAGGAGCACAATTAAACAGACACAACTTTTTCTAAAATTTTAGACATAAAGAAGATTTTAAATGGGTCTGTAATTTGCCAGTTCACTAGGATCTAGTTGTGGCTTCTTAATAAGAGGCTTAATAACCGCCAGCTTGATGGGTTTGGGATGTGACCTAGAGATAACTACAGGTTAATAATTTTGAGAAGCGGTTCTTCTGCTACAGGTAACAACTCATTCAGTAATTTAGTGGGTACAGGATCTAACAGGCATGTTGTTGGTTTAGATGCAGTGATAAGTTTATTTAGCTCTTCCAGTCCTATAGTTGTAAAGCACTGCAGTTTTTCTTTGGGTGCGATAAATTAAGCTGAATTACAAGACGCTGTAGATTCTACATGCACCATTAAACTGTGAGGGAATATTTAGTTCGGGTGATATATTGTCTAGTGTTAGTATTAAAGAATATGTTGTTTATAAGTTGTTCAAGGAGGGGAAAACACTTCTCTTTCTGTTATCTAACTCCAGTATTGCTAAACGTAATGGCACTGTCTATTGCACTTCAAATGATTGCTTGAAAATATTGTTTGTATTTAATTAAATACATTTCTCACACCAGTATTTTAAATTAAATACATTTGATGAGCAAGTATTTGTAATTTGCAACAAAATACTTCTCTGGAGGCAGGGTGGAGTGCTTTCACTTATCCAGTGGAAGTCGGCTGTCGAGGCTTCACTGGAACCTCCACTCAACGGCTCCTGAAGTCTCTCGGTGTCAAGAGGCTCCAAGTTGTCAAAGGCAATTAAAGATCTGACAGAGGCAGAGCAAGGGAACTTTTGGCTCTGGCTTCAGAGAAAGGACTAGATGTGGGGCAGTGAAGGATCCTACGGTTGGCTGCAGGGGGCAGTAGGGAGACGTCCATGCATTTCACTTCATTTTTGTGCTGTATTGTTATTTTGTGTTCTTTAGTGCATACAGATTTTATAATCACAGTTTCCACTAAAATACCATGAGTACTACAGTTCCTGTTAGTGTGATGAAAACTGTAAATTGTCACAGGGAGCACTGTATTATCCAGGCATTTTGGTGTAAAAACAGAACTATTCATAAAGAACTTGGTATTTTCCAGTACTAAGTCATAAAAAACTAAAATAACATTACTTCCCATAAGAATTTCTAACACTACTACTGTAGTAACAGTTACTGCTGTAAGTATTTTGGTGGAAAATAAGGTTACCATGGTACATTAGTTAACAGTATACAAGTAAACAGATATTCTGGAAGTGAAACACAACCCCCCAGTGTCCTTTCACTCATGTGTTAACAGTGAGACATTGTGGTTTGGTTTTTAATAGCACTGCTTTTAGCAGTCTTTCAGAAAGCCCACAGAGAGCAGATGATGCTGAAGCGGAAATTCCCTGCTGCCTACCATCAAATCACTTCCTTATTTTGTATCTCAATCTAGTAATCCTTACAACGTACTTTACCATCATAAAATCACCCTTTCAAATAAGACATAATAAATCACACTCTAGAGCTATATATCTGGCTAAATGCATTATTTCCATTATATTGTAATTAGTTTGTAAAGGTAATACAGTTAGGACATGTTTATTATTGTGACACACTTAGCATCACTTCCTACTCGGTGATGTCTTGCATGTCAGTGAAGGGGTTTATATCTGAACTTCCCCTCCAGTGAATAACATCACATTACCACGCTGCTGTACACATTACATCGCCTGGATTAATGCAGAATAAGACATTAATATGTGCTTTATAAGTTCTAATAAACAGCCAGTCTGCTAGTAATATGCATACTAATAAGCAACTATAGTGAGAATTGGTCCTTAAAATAAAGTGTGACTGTATTTTGATATATTTGTGCGACGTCCTGAGGGAAAATTTAAAAAAATAATAATAAAATAAAAAACGAGTCTCACATGAAGGGACAATAGTAACAGAAACACCCCAGCTCAAATTTCCCGGAGATTTTATAGTCACTTTCTCTTTTTTTTTAGGGCCTGGTGATGTGTTTGTGTAACTTTTAGTTCATACTTTGTCACCGCTTAGCATGAGTCATTCATCATGAGGCTGTAATGAATTGTGGGAACATTATGTGTGTGTGTGTTGTAGGCCGGTGGAGGAGGCGGAGCAGGGGGAGTGCCTCCTCTCTGGGGAGGAGCAGTTAACCCTCATCACAGAGAGCATGTCCATCACCTCCTCTGATGAGGAGAAGCTGCAGCTCCTCAACAAAAACACTGAACTCCGGAGACTCAACAAAGAGGTAAAAACCACCGGATGTGACATCACCCCTACAACTCCATTTTCAGTATCAGCTACATAGTGTGTTTAGTTCACAATACTGTGAAAAAAAGATTAGTTGGAAAAGAGATCGATTTAGATCAATTGGAAAACAAACATGCTTTCAGGGTTTTTTTAATAGTCTTAAACTATAAACTATAAAACCATTTTACTATAAGTTCTAAGTTTCTCACATATTGTATCTATTTGGCAATTAGGTGACACATACAGTGGTAGTAATTAATTACCATATTCATGAACCATAATATTTATATGACAGTCAAAAGTATGTGGTCTAAGTGTGACACCTTCTGGAGAAAAAAAAATTTTTTTTTTTTATGTCAAGAAAGTAAGGTGTTGTTTTTGCAAACATAATCTATTCCAGTGTTTTGTGTAGGTGGGTCAGATTTTGCTGTGTTTGTGGGGATCAAATGTCCCTACAATGAAAATACAGTTAGCCAACGACCCTATATGGACTAAAGGGGCTTAAAAATTAGGATACGGCAAATGCAATTAGCTCAGTGTGAAAACAACAAAGTCAGCGGAAAGTCCCCACACTGATATAAAACTGCAGCGTGTGTGTGTGTGTGTTAGCTGATGAAGCTGAACGAAGAGTGGGATCACATCTATCACAGCACGAGTGTGGGCCTCCAGCAGCGTGTGGCGGCCCTCGAGGAGGAGAGCAGGGCCCTCAAACAGCTCAACAGCCGACTGCTGCTCAAAGTAGAACATGAACAGGTATGTGGGCAGAAGAACGCTCTCAAACTGTTACGGCACAGCTGCTTTAAAGGCCAAGTGTGTATTTTTAGTGTCTCTACAGTCACTAAACAGAATTGCAAATATTGTTAGTTTACCTAGAAACACAGTCTGTCAACGGTTGAGCAAACAGTCCCGCTCGGAACCCACACCACTGGTTGGACATGTTTTTTTTTTTTGTGAAGCTATTTCTACACTCTAAAAAATGCTGGGTTAAATACAACCCAGTGCTGGGTAAAATAGGGACAAACCCAGTAATTGGGTTGTTTTGACCCAGCGGTTGGGTTACTACCCAGAAGGTTGGGTTAAACATTTAACCCAACCGCTGGGTCAAAACAACCCAATTACTGGGTTTGTCCCTATTTTAGCCAGCACTGGGTTGTATTTAACCCAGCATTTTTTTTAGTGTACCTGATCTGAGTCGTAATATGATTTGACTCTTCACTAGAATAATCTGAGGTAGTCTGATTGATTCAGTCATATCAATTTTTTTAAATATTTTACAGTTTATTTATTTATTTTTACTTATTTATTTTTGTATTTTATTATTTATTATTTATTAGTATTTTATTTTATATTTTATTTTATTATTTTATTTTTTTATTTTTGGAACGTTGACCATGATGATACCAAAAAAAAAACTAAAATGATGCTGCTAACACATTTTGTGCATTTGTCTAAAAAAAACACACTGTAATTATAAAATGCATTTACAGTAATAAATAGAATAGTGACATTTTCTAAACAGGATCAAATATAAGTCCATAATGCAACTATACATGATCCTGGATAAGCATCCTTGTTGGTCCTGCAGCAACATTCCCATTAGCCAAACTTTTGGTTAAGGTTTTGGTTGATTATGGAATTATGGTTTAGAAATGATGTGGAGCCACATTTAAAACAGCATAACCTGATGTAAGGTGCACAATCCCTGGCTCTGTGAGAGATGTGAAAAGCAATATGTGTGATGAGTCACCTCTCACCTGATTTATTACATCTGGATGGCTTTATATTTGAAGAAAGCCAGAGGATATTGGAGTAATTAGTTCAGATGATTGCTCTGCATTGTCGAGAGGCATATGAGGCTGTTTTGCAGACTAACCCTGATCCCTTATGAAGCTCACATGCTCCAGGACACTCAAGCTCAATAACACACTGCTAAAGACATTTGAGAGAGGAATTATGAACGAGGCCCTCGTGGTCTGCCAGTGGACAGATCTCATCTGCAGAGGGCTGTTTGGTTGGACTGGTGGTTAGCCAAGTGTTGGTCATTTTAACCCAAGTTGGGAAGTCGGTTTGTCAATTACAAGTAATTTAATGCTAGAGGTCGTATTCTGAACCTCAGGTTCAGCAAAAAAGTATCTTCTTATCAAGGACCATTTTTGGCCAGCCTGGTCTCATAAAAATACGTACCTCTGGGTACTTTTCTGCAACACCGTTTTTACGTACCTTACTGCACGTTTCGCCGCAGTTTCAAAGAGAAATGTCCACTAAGTGGCGCTAAAACACTGGTTCAATACGTGAACCCTGGCACGTTTGTATTACGTTGATATTATTACAGTATTGCTGTGTTTTTATTACGTTGCTTTAGGAACGTATCGCGGCAGTTCAGAATTCAAATATCCGGGGACTGTCGCTAAAAGTTAATGCTCTATCGTGTTGAAAATATGCCCTAAACCAAACCCAACCCTAAACCTACCCGATAGTGTTAACAAATGCAAAACTGATGTAAAAACGCATTTGTTGATGCAACCGTGCCATTTGAACTTCCTTATATGCAGATTTGAACTGTTTTGTCGAACCATAGTTACAAGGGATTCGAACCGGAGCATTACTCCGTGAGCTACCGAACGAACCTACCATTGATGAGAACCCATAGATATGTGCGATGCTAACATTCAAAAGCATCCGTTTTCAAATCTCCCAGCATATTAAAGGGGTCATATGATGCGATTTCAAGTTTTCCTTTCTCTTTGGAGTGTTACAAGCTGATTGTGCATAGATAAGATCCCTGAAGTTGCAAAGACTAAAGTCTCAAAACCAAAGAGATATTCTTTATCAAAGTTAAGACTCTGCCACGCCCCAGAAAGACTTATACAAGTCAACTGGCAGACCGTCAATCCCCGGGGCCTTACCAGACTCCATTCCTTGGAGGGCCTTATACAGCTCCCCCTCGCTCAAAGCACCTGCGATTTCAGCATTTGCTTTCTCTGACATCTGCGGCAAGCCAACAAAGAAATCACTTTCACCCTCATATCCTGCTCCTAGCTCATTTTTATACAAGTTTTCATAGAAGCAAACTGCTCTCTTACGTATTTCTGCAGGGTCCGTTATTAACCTACCACACTCAGAGCGCAAGGCATGAATGGCCCTACTCTGACCATTCTTCTTCTCCAAATTAAAAAAAAATTTGGAAGGAGCATCCATCTGGTTCACACTCTGGAACCTCGATCTGACCAAAGCCCCCTGCGTTTTAAAACCCAGCAAATCAGCCAACTGTGTCTTCTTATTGACCAAAGTGTCAAAATAGCTTTGGACACCAGTTGACTCAGCTAACTTTTGAAGTTTTAAAATATCAGCCTCCAAGGCGTTCATAACTAAAACAGTCTCTTTAGTGACGTTTTGAGCATACTGTATGCAGAATTGTTTCATTTGGACTTTCCCAAAATCCCACCATTGTCGTAAAGAGTTAAAAAAAAACCTTTGTGGTTTTGAACTCCCCCCAAAACACCTTAAACATGTCTTTGAAATACTTATCACTTAACAAGTTTACATTTAACTGCCAGTATGCACTCTTTGGTTTGATGAAACTCAAATACACAAAACACTGTACCATGCTGTGATCAGTAAAACCCAACGGGGTAATTAAACATCTTTTAACAATATATAATGTACAGTATTTGAAAAATAATGTGTTTTTTGAACATTAAAGCATGTCAACATATTCTGTTACACCAAATACACAAAATAATGATCTTTAAAAAACATCATATGACCCCTTTAAAGCAGCACTATGTGACTTTTTCTGTGTTCAAAATGTGCTAAATGTATATAATGAGCGAGTACATCATGAATTCATCTTCCAAACCGCGTTTTTGTCTTATTCCGCATCACTCCGGTACACTTATAATAAGTACTTATATTTGGACTATTGTAGGCTGGTCGGGTCGTCACCGCTGCGGAGTAACACATACCTGCGTGAATCGCCAGAGACATAAACTTAGAGAAGTAGCTCCGGTTGGAGTGTTCTTCCGCGGGATGTGTGCAGTTCTGTTTATTAACCGCTAGAGCGCCAAAAAGTTACATAGTGCTGCTTTAAAATTGTCTTGAAGTCATAACATAATATTCTTCAAGTAATTGTGCGAAAATTACGCTTTATTAATCGAAACTCTGTAAATTTGAGTGAAAATTAATAAAAGGTGTCGGACTTTTACTGCCTCTAGTGTTCATTTCTTTTGGAAACTGCAGTGATATGTACTTATTGGAGATCTCGAAATATTAAATCTTTTAAAGGTTAGGTTACCTCATAATTAAATTAGCCATTTATTTCAGCAATTTCAGCAAATATGGACTTCTTATGTGGACTATATGTACTATATATGACTATATATATATATATATATATATATATGTGTGTGTGTGTGTGTGTGTGTGTGTACTTCCAAATATGGTCTACTTTTATGATACTTTTATGGTGCTTTTTTTTGTCAATTTTTTGATCACTGTATGCATCTGTTGTATGAGAAAATGCAGCATGAAGATTCTGCTAAACAGCTTTTTTTTTATTTTGTGTTCCACTGAAGAAAGAAAGTCACATGAGTTTGGAATAACCTGATGGTGACTAAAAGATGACAGAATTTTCTTTGTGCAACTTAAACAAGTTTCCAGCTCTAAAGTGTTTTGGTTCTAAACGGAACCTTTATTTTTCTAAACGTGTGGCACATTTGGTGTTTTTTTCTTCTGTGGTGTGACTGATGTTTTGCTGTGGATCGCTCTGATTCAGAAGCAGATCCACGAACAGACTTTTGCATGTTTGTATTTGTGTGTGCAGAACAAGAGGGAATATTATGAACAAACACTGATGCAGGAACTGAAGAAAAACCAGCATCTGCAGGAGTATGTCAGACTGCTGGAGAGCCGACTGCACCAAACAGATCTTCAGCAGTGGACTAGAGGAACTCAGGTGAGCTTACAGAATCAATCAGACCAGTTACAGTATGTTATGTGACTATCCTTTAACATCTTCATTTAATTTTTTTTTCCTTTGGAAGACCCCAGATATCAGTGGCTCCTCAGACTCTCAGCTAGTGCAGAGCTTGTCTAAGCCGTCCCTGGACATACGGTCGACTCCAGCACTTCCTCCGTCACTGGGCACAAAGTCCAGTCTCAGACTGGCTGGTATGGGATTGGAGATGCAGTCTGACCCTATGAGAGAGGTTCAGGATCTTAAAGAACAGCTGGTGGCACTGCGGTGTCAGGTGAGTTCACGTGTGATCATAATATTCAATGTAATTTCGAAAGGAGAGTTATAAATATGCCCACATTAACCCTGTGACATATGTGACACATTTGATCAGGCTTTATGGCTTATATAGTATAATATAGGAGAATAAGAAGCTCGTACTTCATATATATTCATACATATTTAGAGACTCAAACTGAGCCAAAATATGTGATTTGCTGCAGTTGCTGATATTTATATGGCCAAAAAGTAAGATGAAATTCTGATAGCTTGTACATATGTATTATAAATCAAAACTCCTATATCTGCCAATAATATGTCTTAGTAAGATGATATTTAAATGATCAAAACATATAATGCGATGCAATCCAATGATGATTGAGAGATGAATTGAGAAATATGACTAACGATATAAAAGTTATTCTTCTGTTTACTTGACGCCATGAGATCAAGGTGGACGTTTTTACAATTTTCTTTTTTTTTAAAGGGGTCATATGATGCTGCTAAAAAGAACATTATTTGTGTATTTGGTGTAATGAAATGTGTTTATGCGGTTTAAGGTTCAAAAAACACATTATTTTCCACATACTGTACATTATTGTTTCTCCTCTATGCCCCGTCTTTCTGAAAAGCGTCGATTTTTACAAAGCTCATCTTTCTGAAAAGCGAGGTGTGCTGTGATTGGCCAGCTATCCAGTGCATTGTGATTGGCCGAATACCTCAAGCGTGTGACGGAAATGTTACGCCCCTACCATACTGTGATGCCCTGTCCGGCCGGAGTGTTGATTCAAAATCATGAAAACCCATTGCTTCTTTATGCACCAAGAGCTTGTAACACTCCAAAGAGAAAGGAAACATTGAAATCGCATCATATGACCCCTTTAACATAAAAAGTATGAACTGACTGTGTGCAACAGGTATTGTCATGTTGATCATTTAGATCCCTTAGAAATTTGCATATCAAATATGACATAGTTGGCTTTATAGAGTTAAACATTAAACATTAGTACAGTAGGTAAACAGAAGGTAGAAATATTTAATCATTTAGCAGACGCTTTTATTCAAAGCAACTCACAAATGAGGACAAAGGTTAATTTGGGGGTATAATATTAGTTTAATATAAGTAATAGTTTACTGTAAGTAATATAAGTTGCATTTCTTCACTATTTTATAAAAAAAAAAAAAATCGGCTTCATAGATGTTTTTTTTTTTTTTACAAAAACAGTTTACATTTAACACAGTAGCACAGTAAAATAGTCAAATCTCTGTTGTAGGTGTAATAGATTTGACTTCATCCATCCACAGACTAAAATCTACGAGGCTGACTATAAAACCGAGCAGAAGGACCATGAGCGCATGCTGCAGGAGAATAAGCGTCTGCGGCGCAGAGAGGCAGACATGCGTCAGCAGATGGCGCTGCTGCAGGAACAGGTGAGCACCGAGAGCAATCAAACACCTGATTCCACCACTGGGTATAGCACATGATACTAGCTCATCACTGGATCCTGTCAAACACATCTTCCTCTGTTCGGAGGTCGATTCCTCCAATACGTGTGCTAACACTTTATTTGGATAGTCCAATTCAGACATTCTACTAACTATAAGTAACTCTGCAACTCCATGTCAACTAGCAGTCATTAGTAGACTGGCTGCTTAATATCTGCTCACACTTTATTTTGATGCTCCACAAACTGACTATAAGTAACTTTGCAAGTACTTGTCATCTTATTCTACTAACCCTAACAGTCTACGAATACTCTGAGAGTTAGTTTACATGTAGTTGCAAAGTTACATATAGTTATAGAAAGTCTACAATGGCTATTGAAATCAAGTGTAAACAAAAGGTAAACACTGTGACACTGTCAAATGTTTGTTTTAGCATCAAATATGGATTCAAACTACTGATTTAGTGTTTGACTGACCGATGGCAGACAGCAGTTTGCTTTGTTTCACTTTCCTGAGTATCACACATTGCTTTTAAAAACTTCCCATTGAACTAATGCAAAGATGACTGAACACAGAATATTAGACACGCAGTTCACTCAATGAAAAAAAAATGCAGTTAAGAATTGCTATGTAAGCCGTTTACGGTAGTGTTTTTCTATGAGGAAATGAATCTGTTGCCACCTGTATTTCACAGTGCAGGTCACAATCATCAGATTTCCATGTCAAAGATTTTCATTGTTTTATCTTTGAAGAATATTCATTCAAAAGGAAATGAGGTTCGGTGGTTTCCAGTGAAACTTATTGTGATGCCATGGTGTCGTGACGTTGATTATGATGATGCATTTTGCACACTTAAAATAGACTGTGTTTCACAGGAATCATGATAATTATCTTCTCTTATCTTACATAATCTGTTTCTATGGACTGACAAACTGATGTGCACATTAATCTTAATCATTATTTGCAAATTAATTTCTGTATCATTATAGTCTGTAATGCAAAAAGAGAACAGGTATCAACTGCCCACTTCCATTGTATCAAAGGTATTATCAAACAGATATCTCATATGTGAGCCTGGAGCACAAAATCAGTCTTAAGTCGCTGGGTTATATTTGTAGCAATAGCCAAAAGTACATTGTATGGGTCAAAATTATAGAATTTTCTTTTATGCCAAAAATCATTAGGATATTAAGTAAAGATCATGTTCCATGAAGATATTTTGTAAATTGCATGCCGTAAATATATCAAAACTTAATTTTTGATTAGTAATATGCATTAAAAATACATTGTATGTGTCAAAATTATTGATTTTTCTTTTATGCCAAAAATCATTAGGATATTAAGTAAAGATCATGTTCCATGAAGATATTTAGTAAATTTCCTACCTTAAATATATCAAAACGTACTTTTTGATTAGTAATATGCATTGCTAAGAACTTCATTTGGACAACTTTAAAGGCGATTTTCTCAATATTTTGATTTTTTTTTTGCACCCTCAGATTCCAGATTTTCAAATAGATCTATCTCGACCAAATATTGTCAAATCCTAACAAACCATACATCAATGGAAAGCTCATTTATTCAGCTTTCATATGATGTATAAATCTCAATTTCGAAAAATTGACCCTTATGACTGGTTTTAATGATAAAGTCTTGTTTGTTTTCTCAGCTGAAGGTGTACGAGGATGATTTCCAGAAGGAGCGCTCAGACAAACGCATTCTCCAGAGACTGCTGATGAAAAAATCTCCAGCCGAGAAAGAACCGGTTCTGGTGCATCGCTGCAACAACGAGCAGGACCGGCCCAGATCAGACAGGAGAAAGCCCAGAGAAGAGCAGCGCGGCGGATACGTTTGTCCAAAACACTGTGAGCGTCACGGCCAGCCGGAGTTCCCCTGAACGCCGACAGACAACACATTCATTCATCATATAAAAGAAATGTACACAAGCTAGTTTGTATCTTAAAATAGTTACTTTTTAACTGCTTTATTTATATGAGGATCTTATTTTTTATTGTATTATTCTTTCGTATTGTTGAAAGGATTGTGTTTGTACAACGTGTGGAAACTGTTGCACTTTTGTCTCTATATAAATCAATCTGAACCACTTCACTGCCTGGAAACATGAAACTCAAACAATCCGTGTCAGACAGTAAATACTGTAATCTTTATAAGCCAATCTATGTGGTCTTGTTAATATGTCAACTGACTTTGTCAATATGTCAAACTGACCTATTACAAAAAAAAAAAAAAACAATACTACGAGGAAACGATTTAAGAAGTTTCTGCACCTTTGACTATAAGGAAGCCATTGGAAATCCCTATATTGAGCTCATTCCTAATGACTAACTGGTGTGTTTGTTTGTTGTTTTTGTTTTTTTTTTCCAGGAAATTTGCTCAGTTGCAGTCTTTTATTCAGTAATGTCCATCCTTGCACTTGTGCTCTCACTGTACATAGCCCATGTTATTTGTTTTTTTTATTTGTTTTGTTTTTTATATTGTAATGCATTAGAAATGTCCTTATAATTACTTAGAAAAGTTAAACTACATTGTTTTAATAAAATATGCATTAACAATATAGATGTTTGTGACCCAAATTCTTTACCATCCAATTTCTTTGATTACTCATGAGAAAAAGTGTGTGTGTGTGTGTGTGTGTGTGTGTGTGTACCTGTTTTTCTATTCTGGTGGGGACTTAAACCTGAATACACACAGACTCATGGGGACTCGTGTCACGGTGGGGACCTAAATTAAAGTCCCCACGGGTAAACAAGCTAATAAATCACACAGAATGAAGTTTTTTGAAAATCTAAAAATGCAGAAAGTTTCCTGTAAGGGGTAGGTTTAGGTGTAGGGCAATAGAATATATGGTGTGTACAGTATAAAAACCATTACGAAACTGTGTGTGTGTGTGTGTGTGTGTGTGTATACATATCTATTTTATTATATATAGTTCTATATGTAGATAGATAGAAATAAGCTAATAACTGTATAGCGGCTCTTCAGATGTAATGAAATATATGTGACCCGTGCTGGCAAAATGAGTGTGAATGCACAGGGGCTAATTTTGAGCTACAGGCAAAAAAAGTAAAAAAAATATACAGATTTTGAGGTTTTCACAAAAATGAGCTCATTAAGCCCTTGTCTAGCGATCCCAATGCTCCAAATAATAATTTTAGATGGCCGCCTCATTAATGTTAACAATGAAAGAAAAGAGGGAATCACTTGCTGCTCTTGATTGAACTGCTTTTGTTGAGATCAGATTCACCAAATCGTTTTTTTTTTGAGAATGAACGAGTCAAGAGGGCACTGGCTTAACATCTCAGGTCACACATCTTTCTTTAGACACTAAATGACCCCTCGCATGTTTTACTAAATTCATAGTAGTATACTTAAAGTATGATGTAAAGTTCATTTAAAGAAAACTTACGAGTATACTTGCAGTATAAAACTACTAAACTAGTAGTTTACTAAGACTGTACTTCAAAGTGTACTAAAAATGCTTCTACAAATATTTAATTAGTAAACTATCAGTATTCATATAAGTTTACTTTTAGTATAGTTGCAGGACAAGCTAACTGATATTTGTATACTTACTACATAAAGTATACTTAAAATATACTTGAACTTTACTTAAGTATACTTACTAAAATAAACTTGAAGTATACTACTTTTTGGTAAGGGATGCCAGAGCATTTGAAAGTCAAAGTAACTGGTCTTTCACTCTGGTGAACTGCGTTTATGAAACAGAAAATGGAGTTAGCTGTTATGTAAATTCTAATTTGGATAAGTTCGGCAACATGTCTCCATTCATTTGAGGCTGAGAATGATTTCATCTTTAAAGGAAAGCTAAAGTAAATCTGTCATCTAACCATTAGTTCAAGAGATTTAAAATGTGCAAAACATCTATGTAAAACTTTCCCTTTTACATTCACACACGTTTTATGCTATTCAAAATAGTTTTATGCTATTCTTTTTTTTTTTCAGGTACATGTCATTTAAAGCAGCACTATGTAACTTTTTCTGTGTTCAAAATTTGCTAAATGTATATAATGAGCGAGTACATCATGAATTCATCTTCCAAACCGCGTTTTTGTCTTATTCCGAATCACTCCGGTACACTTATAATAAGTACTTATATTTGGACTATTGTAGGCTGGTCGGGTCGTCACCGCTGCGGAGTAACACATACCTGCGTGAATCGCCAGAGACATAAACTTAGAGAAGTAGCTCCGGTTGGAATGTTCTTCCGCGGGATGTGTGCAGTTCTGTTTATTAACCGCTAGAGTGCCACAAGTTACATAGTGCTGCTTTAATACTTAATTTATTTGTAATGAACAACCTAAAGGGATTTTTACATTTGATTATTTGTTTTTCTTACTTGAATGCTTTTGTTTAGATGTAAAATGAAAACGGTAATGCACTATTTGTTTCTTTCTTATATTTGTTTCACTGTTTTTTGTTTGTTTTTTTGCGTTTGTCTTATTTATAATAACAAAGATAAAATAAAAAATATCTATATTGTGACTATTTATATAGTAATCATTATTAAGAAAGAACTGGAGGAAAAGATGCAACGTTGCTCTGTGATTTTGCTTTGGAAAATGTTAACTCGGTTTTTCTCAAAATTGACTTTGCTGATTCTATCGACTTCAAACAGGTGTAGCTCAGATATTTTTCATCCGATTCCAACAAATCATACATCATTCTGAGGGTATTTTAATGGAGAATGTGAACATAAACATAACTCATTTTTGAAAATTTGCTCATTGTGACTCATTTTGCCAGCACAGGTCACATATGTTAATACCATATGATCATATCCTTGCTAGATAATGATTGTTGCAAGTAATTATCATATCATCATTGCTAGATGGGTTAATCTGATTTTTCTCTTTAAACAACGGTGTCTTTATAAACTGAAATATGATTAAAATTGCACATAATTTTATCAGAAAAATATTCAATAATGCTATAAAAGCCAACACAAATAGAATAGTGGTTGAAATGTTCAAAAAATAGACATCTTTAGAAACAGAAACTTTTTAATATTTCATTTTAATAATGAAGTCATTATTTTGTTCACACAGTCAGGGGTGTAGGGATGATTTAAATAGATAATAGCTAAATAAATACTATAATATACTGTATAATAAAAATATGTAGTAAATAGCTATGGGTTGGGTAAGTGTTCATGTATGAATAAATGACTTATGCTTTATAAAAAATGCTTTACCATAATGCTGTCACCAGTGACAATGCAGGTTCAGCACGTGCTGACAGAGATAACAAAGGCAGTGTGATTTTTTGATTAAGTATTATCTGGTTGCAGATGAACACAAAGAAGCTTACTCACAAAAGGAAATGATCTTATGACTTACTGGAAATTTTCAACATCATCAGCTGTAAAGCTCAGCATATTGCAACATATTTTCCATACAATACCTACACACCCCAGCATGTATGAAAGGGCGGTCAAAAATATTTTCTTTTTTTCCCTAGAGTCTGAAATAGTATGCTAGCATGATGTCGCATCGGAGGAGGAGCCAAATCCTTAACTTATTATATATACACGCAGTTTGACAGTGAAGAGCAAGACATCTCAGGAAGAAACAGCCTGAAGAGCAGAGAGCAGGTATCGGTTGATTTAAATATGATCCAGTTTCCATACTTTCCTCCATAGATTTATAATTGTTTTATATTGATCTTTCAATGTTGTCTTCAGCTTGGACCAAGACTCAGCACAAAGAAATCAGCATCTTTCTGACTCAGGTGCGTGTTTTGTCTTGGTTGCACTGCACACTCTCAGTGAACTTTAGCAGTGAAAATGAGCCTACTAAACAGATGCCAATGCCTGAGTATGCAATCTAGCTGCTTATTGTGGCTCACCTCCACCTTTATGCGCTTAAGAGCAGCATGTTCTTCCCATTTATTTGCTCATGGACCATTGCTTCCAGTCATTACAGAACTCTCTGTTCCTGCATAAACAACCCAGAATAAATTTGCCATGAATAAGTGGGAAGCCAAGACAAGGAGGTTTTCAGAGGTCGAAAAGGGAAATGCCTAAGTCAGACTGAAACTGGACACAAGTTTTATTTGCCATCTTTCTCTCTGGGTTATAAAAACAGGTTCTCGTTCCCTGTGGAGTTTGCCCAGCTGAGCCTTAGCCCTTGAGAAGCAAAGTAAGCTTCGCACATCTCCAGCAGACAAGCGGAAGTTTCACTGCGTTTTCAGACATGAAGAAAGACGTGGCAGAGATTCAGGCCCTGTACGAGCAGCAGGGGTACCTGTCGGCTCTTCCTATCCTCAGTCCAGAAGAACTGCAGCAGGCCCGGGATGCCTTCGCTGAGCTGGAGAGAAAGCATGGTGAGCTTCGGTGCTGCGGACTTACATATAAGCCTCTGAATTGAGGTTTGGAGCTGAAATAATGCAGTTATTCTTTTACAGGTGAAGATTACACCGCTTACAGCCTTCATAATACCCACATGGAGTGTGACTGGGTGATGGCCCTCGCCAAGCACCCTAAGCTTCTGGAGGTGGTCACAGCGGTTCTGGGGCCTGACGTCATCCTGCTGGACTCCAGATTCATTTGTAAATATCCAGTGTGTAACAAGTCTGCTAAAACGCAGGAAATCCAACCGAACAATACCTGTTCTAAAGAAAAGGACAGCACTGAGAAGACAGACGGAATGCCGTTTGTGGCCTGGCACCAGGATATGAAGTAAGCACAACTGAAGTATTTTGGGCTTTTGTTGGCTCACGTATCCATTTCAAGTGTTGCAATCATCATATGTCGATCTTCAGGTACTGGGGCTTTGATGGCGGTCCCGTTCTGTCTGTCTGGCTTGCTCTGGATGACTCACGTGAGGACAATGGAGCACTGCAGGTTATTCCAGGTATGAACACGGTCTCTGTTTGCAGGAAGGACTGTGTCTGGTTTGTAAGGTGTCTAAACTGTCCTTATTTAATTTTCCAACAGGAAGTCACCACTCTGGTCTGCTGCCCCATCACCAGTCAAAACGATCTGGCAACATGCTGAGTGTCAATCAAGAGATCCCGGAGGAGCTGGTGGAGACGGAGAAGGCCATCTTATGCCCTCTTCAAGCTGGTCAGATGTCTGTGAGTATGAATACTCGCCATGACATTCCTTTGCAATGTCTGAGAAAACAATGGAACAAATCAAAACAATCTTGCATTTTCCAAGCATTCATTGTCTAAATTCTATTCAGATCCATGATGGACTTCTGGTCCACGCCAGCGATCCCAACACATCTAATAGGAGGCGCTGTGGCTATGTCATCAGATATGTCCCTACATGTACTTATCCAATCCAGGTAAACATCTCGCTCAGTTTACAAAATGATGACATTTCACATATACAGAGTTCTGGCATGAAACTCTAGATGGCGCAGTCCGATAGGTCTAACTCAATCTGACCTGATGACATCATCATCACATAGCACAGCTGATTGGTTATCTCCTGTATCGGTAGCCAATGAGCTCGCTGCTCAAAATTTAAATATATGACTAGTGCTTGCCGTAGCAGTGCAGCTTGCTT